GAAGATAAAATATTATAAATAGGATGACTCAGGAGCTTGAAAACTGCTTTCAGAAAATGGATATAGTTTTTCAAGGAGAAGTAATTGAGTAGATTTCAAATTTGAAACCCTTGGGGAATTGGTTCTTCTCCTAATTACTGATCCTTTCTCCTGGGTTTGAGAATATGAAAGTAATTCTCCCTAGTGTCAGTTCTATAGAGATGCAATTACAAAAATAATAGATGTGATTCAGGATGTTATTAAACTTTTTTACTTTGTTCTTATTTGTACTCAGTGCAAGTGAACATTTTAAGCAAATAACTGGGTTATTTTCATAGACTTTATTGTATATCATGGCATGTGCTACATGATCTATGTCACGCTTGATGATGTTGCTTCCATTGATTCCACAATGATCATTTCCTATCTTGGCTGTCTGCAATAATCAGTTTTCTGGTTATTTCATCATTTTTTAGTACAACATCTAAAGTGAGTTTCCTTTAGGTCGATTAATAAAAATTTAAGTACACTCATGCACTAGTTCAGTATATATTTACTGAATGTGTATCATGTGCTAGGCACCAGAGATACAAAGATATATAAGCAAATCTTTTTTTTTGAGGAGCTCAGAGTCCAGTAGGGAGCTAACAGTCAACTAGACTTGATTATAGAGCTGTAACAAACAACCCTCCCAATCTCAGTGGTTTAATGCAACTAACATTTATCCGTGTTCATACTTCACATCCAAGTAAAGTCAGCAGGGGGCACTGTTAGAGCATGTCTTAGAGAGTATGTGACCACAGGTTGATCCTTGAGGTGGACCTGGGCAATTGAAGGCTCCTCACTCCTCTCTTGTCCTTGGAATACACATTTCATCTATTATTTGCATGCTAACAGCTGCTTCAAGGATGCAGCCTTGATAGTAAGGTGTCGTTGAGACCGTCTGGACATGATGGAACCGAGTTCAGGCCTCTATAAAGACTCTTTAAAGATTTGGCAGGCAAGTGTGGGGATCTATTCATCTTGTGGTTGCCCAAGACAAGCCTCGTATTAAGTTTCCTTGCTTATGAAACTTGGCACCTACCAATCTGGAGTGGCCTGCCTCTTTCTTTGGCCTCTCCTTACCTCTGTATACAGGTCTAGTTTCAGATTTCACCCAGGGGACTCCTGAGGTTGCAAACCAACAGGCTCCCAGGCCCTTGGAAGCTTCATCTCAATATACGACCTCCACAGGATCACTGTGACTGTGAAAAGTATGGTCAATTGCACACTGATTTTTAAAGCTTCTGTCCAGAGGTGACGCATGCCATCTTTGCTCTTATTTTATTGGCTGAAGCAAGTCAAAATGGTTTCTAAGGGAGACTGCAAAGTCCAGTGCTAGAATATGCCCTGAAAGGAAGAAGACATGGAATGTTTGTGGACAGCCACATGACAGCACAATTGCAACACAGAAGAAGGGACTAGATAACCATAGCACTGGCAAATCTGATACAACAGTGTTACTAGAAGGGTTTGCACAGTATATTGATCAATGCTGGGGTGGATTGAACATTGAATTAGGGAAATTGGGGCTGAGTAAGCATCTGCTTAAACTCTCTTTCCTAAACAAACTTCTTTGTACCCCTGGACTCTCTCAGGTCTTCTCTGTGCCTTCTTCTCATTGCATTCTACTCTCCTCCTTTACAGTGGTTTTTGGTTTAAAGCATTGTGATTATCATCTCCATGTGGGCAGGAACTGTATCTCTTTTGTTTCATGACCAAATCCAAGAAATGTTTGTTGGATGAAGCATGGCCCGACACATGGAAGGTACACAAGGACTGTTTGTTGAATGAAAGCGTTAGAGGAATTGAATTTTGGTTAGCAAGTTAGAATTGGCCCAAGGGAGAAGGGAGGGAGAGCATTATAGACTGAGGGCCATCCCGCATGGAGGCAAGAAACATCAGAGGCAAGGTCTTTTTGAGAAAAAGTGTAAAGTTTGTATATAGCTTGCTGCCTAGAAGAGACATTTTTACTCATGCATAGCTTAATTGCCATTTTAAGAGAAAGCAAGTCAGTGTTCCACTTCTAAAGCACTCTGGGCTCCTAACCCCCCTTTTTCTCTTGTCTCGATACTTTGATGAGCTGAGACCTCCAGCTGGGTGAGGCTTCTATACTGTGGATAAATGTCCACAAGGGGCAACAACCAGGCCACCAACCTCATTTTCACTTGTTATTCTAGCCCAAACTTTAACCTCCCTCCAGAGGAGTAGATAATGCATTAACACCTCACACCACTCCACATGCTCCCAGGGCACGGTGGGATCTATTCTCTTCCAGGTCTGAGTGTAGCTCCCATTTGCTTCTGATAATCACTTTCCGGGAAATTATTTCAAATGCAAGGGAGGGGCTGTAGAGAGAGTGACAAGGAAGTGCCTCACAGAAATGGAACTATTTTCTCCAGGAGTGCCTTACTTAGGTGAATCTCCTTTCTCATCATCAAGCAATCTGGTTCGGATTCCAGAAATGCAAGGGTTTCCCCTTGTTTCCAAGTATGCCCCAGTAACCCACCAAGTTATCCCACTGTCACTGATGAGAAAATGTCTGGGCAGCTTTGCTGGAGTTTATTAGCATTTTCCAGGGTGGGAACTGCTGATTCTTGGTAAGATGTCTTAAATGGAAGCTTAGCATTTGTGGGAAGAAAACTGACTGATCGCGGGATGTTCATTTAACATCGGAACTGAACCGATCAAATGGAAGCAGATGGCAGGCCTTGTCTCTGCCCCTTGAGCACCTGCCCGGGCTAACTCACAAAGACAGTTAATGTCTCTAGTGCAAAGGAGCTGTCGAGGGATGCTACTGAATATTTCATCTGATGTGAGGATGAAGTGATTTTTTTTTTTTTTAAAACAACTTATGGTGAATAAATTAAACGGCTCCCTGCATATATATTTATTCATTGCTGCTCATTCACTTCTTCAAAATGAAAAAAGGAGTAATAACAGGTCTGGACCCTTCAATCTGTCCACCTGGTACACAAATAGCTTATACCTATACTGGTTGCTCCTAGTCACATGTGGCTATTTAAACTAAAATTAACTACAATTAAATAATTTAAGAAATTCACTTTTTCAGCTGTGCTCACCACATTCGAGTTGTCAATAGCCATGCGTGCCTAGTGGTTGCCATACTGAACATTTTCATCATTCTCGAACATGCTATTGGGCAGCACTGACTTAGATCATTGTTCTCCAAAATGGGATGAGAATAATACAAGGAGTTTGTAAGATAGTCCACTGTGGTGGGAAGAGAAAATAGTAGAACTTCTTATGCCATTTAGTTCTAGGAAACAGACTTTGAGATAGTTTAACACACAAGGAATATATTAGGAAGTGCTCTCGTGGTTAATTCCTGTAGAGGAAGTGAAGAAAGAAGGACTGGGGAAGACAAGAGGGAGAGGCTGGACTGTGGCACAGGCGCAACAAATAACTCAACTGACTCACAGGGAGCCCTGAACTTGGGAAAGACAGTTATCCCGAGTTGCTGAGTGGGATGGGGTGGCCCTTTATAGTTTTATAAATGACTGGTCATGGATGAAGGCTGCCCTTGGGCAAGGAGCCTTTCTCCAGCAGCTGGGGGATTTTTTTTTCAGTTCTGAGAGGGGACTATGAGTGGTGCATCAGTGTCCATGACATTTAGCTTCCTTGTATTTGTTTTGAATATTTGTTCAAAGTTCTTAGCACAGTGGTAAATGAATATAATTTATAAATAAGTATATACATATAATGAGGTTCATGTTAAATATAGTTTGCTGATCAGGATGTACAAATCAAAAAGCTTGTAAATCAACCAGCGTAGTCTTGATTGAAATGCAAATTTTTACATTTGAATGTTTAAATACTCTTTGTAAAATGGTGGCCAGTTGGTTCATTCATAATAGCCAGTCTTCCATCCTTCCTTCCTTCCTTCCTTCCTTCCTTCCTTCCTTCCTTCCTTCCTTCCTTCCTTCCTTCTTTTTTTTTTTGCACGTGAATGACTTTAGGCTGTGGCCAGCTCCAGATGACTATTGATCTGATGTCTTGCTGTTGTCATAAACTCAATGATTTCACACATTTATATGACTTATTTGAACCCTGAAGGAATTTGAGTTTGTAATCCCTAGTTGCATAATAGCAGAGGGCATCAGAGAGTGTACCATGCTAAAAGCAGTAGAGGAAAAACAAAAAGACGCATAGTGAGAAACTAGAAGAAACGTGGGGCCAAGGAATGAGAACATATGATAATAAAATGCTGTGGAGTAGAGCTGGCCATTGGTTTTAGAGATTAATTCATACATATCACTCTCCTTGATGGGCAAAGTGGCAAAGATGAAAAACCTTCTAGTGTACTAGAGACCCAGGCCCACCTCTTGGGAAGGAGAAGGACACTAATGCTCATTTAGTATCTATTTCTATTATATGATAGGAACTTGAGTGGGTAGTTTACATCTACAAATGTTATTTAATATTTTTAAGTACCCACTGAACTAGGTCTGAGTATTATGGGATAGGACAGATGACCTAATCAATGATAAGGAGATAGCAATGAGGCTTTTAGCAGAGAATCCCTGCAGTTTTTTCTTTCTCACCTTTGGGAACCTATATTTTGATCTTGGCTCTCAAAGATTTTGGTGCAAAGAAATTTATCAGTTGGAGCCACAAACTCCAGTACTTGCTGGAGGCTGGCAGGCAAAGTGAATAGGTGAGCTTGTCCAGAATGAGGCAATGAGAAGTGGAGACTGGTGACATAGAGAATCCTTGCTCCCTCAGCAGGTGGCTGCTGTGGCCAGGGAGAACTATAGAACTAGTGTTTCCAGATGTCTAAATTTTCAAGAGAAGCTGGGTATGTCATTAAATGTAAGAGATATAGTGAAATCTGATATTTACATGTTGGCACTCAATTTAAGAATACTTGCGGATCAAAAGAAACACATCTGGGCTACAAGTTAATTTCCAAAACTGCTGATGGCTGGGACCACTGTCCCACTTTAAGAAGGCAGGTTTGAGTGCTTGCTTCGGCATCACATAAAGTAAAATTGGAATGATATAGAGAAGAATAGCATGGCCCCTGCGCAAGAAGGCAGGTTTGAGAACTTGGGGAGCCATTCATGTCCTTGAGACTAGCATGGATTTGTTAAGCATTGAAGAGCTCGCTATCAGGCAGCTCTGAGCAGGGGAGGCCTGAAGCCCACACTTCTGAAGTCAGTAGAAGTTTTCACAGAGTTGCTGGAACTCTTGTTACCATGGACATTTCCTGCTTGCTACTTCAGCTGGTTTCAGAAAACCAGGCTGGCTTCAGCCTTCAAATGTGGCCCTTGAAGTACTTCTATAGACTTTTTGGTTGTCACCTAGTATCACTTCAGACTTGCAAACAGCAAAGGCACTGGCTGTTGCCACCTGCTAGCCCCATACATTTAGTCATCAGTAATTGATGAGGTGTTTGATTTTTGACTTGGGAGGAAAGGAACAAAAGGAGAGGAAATGGTAAGTTGAACATACCCACTTCTGATGGTTTCAATTTATGATGGTGGCTTTACATCATCACCAACCTCGTCAGAAAGTTTTTGTTCAGCTAGTATTATTGTCATAGCAGAGGACATGAAAGAGTTAAATACTTAATTCTCCCTGAAGTGAAAACTCACAGCCCCAGGGATATTCCCTCGAATAATATAGGTTGTAGCTATTAGGTGTTTATTATTTTGTTGGTTTTTTTAGCAATGAGTGATGGGTGGGGACAGGATGCTGAATTTGTTCTCTCGTGGCAAGGGCCTGGGAGAATTCTACAATCCTTTCCGTTATCATTGCATGGTGCCCAAAAGAGGGCTTTTGTGACACTCATTTTGTGGAAGGTTTACTATTTAACACAAGATTTTCCTAGTAGTTTTCTCTGTACAATATTTGTAGATTCTTAACTGTTTAACAAAACATTCAGATTTCCTTCTTTAGTTTTAGTTTAGTTCTTCTTAACAAATCTTTTGATGTGTCTTTAGGAAGCTCAAATTAAAAGGAGCGCAGTGGTGCAGTTAAAGACAGTTATCTCAGGCTAGGTGGACCCAGATAATAAGTGGAGTTCCCTACAGCCTGAATGAGCAAAAGCCCTCCACAGAACACTGCTTGAGCCAGACCTCTTTCTTTTTGCCTGTGTCCCCTGTTGCAAGTGGTTACTGTACTTAATAAATTTTGCAGATGTGGCCACTGCGCTGTTATATCTGATCAGCAGAGACAGACATACACATCTGTTTAAATACGGCAGTAAATAGACCCTTCCACTTTATATGAGATGAGGAGTGGGGAGCCTGGGACTGGTATGTTCAGAGTTTGGCAAGAAATATTTTTCTCAATAGGCGTTAAGCAAATTAGTTTCTTGGAGCAGAGAGGATTTCAGAAGCTCTTAAAAAAAAAGCTGAGCAATGAAAAGGAAAGGATGTTCCTTCCATTTTATGGAATTTATCCATCCATTTAACTAATATTTACTGAGTTCCTGCAGTATTTACTGATCAATCATGAATTTATCGAGATGATGCCAGCATAGTGCTGAATTATAATCCATTCACCACCTGATTAACCACTCTACACCTGACTTTCTTTCAAGGCCATCACCCTTCTTTTTGATCCCAGCCCACTCTGTCCCTGTACTGCGTCTAGGCCAGTCTGTGTATCCACTGTCTTACTCATTCTGTGAGTTCCCCTCCAGTGTCACAAGGGTCGCCTAAAGAGGGCTCTGATATTAGCTTGCTGTGCCCTGTCAGTTTGAATCAAGTCACAGCCACTCAAGCCCACCCCATGGGCAAGCACTTGACAGCTCTCCTTGTCAGCCCATCGCTGAAAGGCAGGCAGCAGCAGCGAGTGGGAACCAGTTAATTAGCAGTGACGACTACCAGGTTGGGATTTTTTGTTTAATGCTTAGTTAATTTCACAGTAATTGAATTTAGACTCAGCTTACAGAGACTGGGGTGAAAGGTTCTGTGTCAAGCCCCAGCATTCTCTAGCAGGAGAATAAAAAACGCTATTGTTCTGAGGCCTGCTTGGCCTCCTCTCATGAATTCTGTCAACACTTGGAACCCGGGAGTTTCCCATAGAAGGACTTTTAGGTGCAGGCAAGGCAATCGGCGTGCTCCTGGTTCTTTCCCAGTATGCGGGGGTGGGGGGTGGGTGTGTGTGTGTGTGTCAGAATTGATGGAATCTGTATATCTGTGCAAGGAGGAAGCTGCATCTTGAGTGATTTCTAGGTACTGGTCACAGGGGTGGGCTCATCACACACATTCTCTCATTTCTTCTCACACCATCCTTGTGGGGTAGATATTGTTATTTTCATTATCGAGGTGAGAAGGATGAGGCTCAGAGACACTGAGTAACTTACCAATATCACAAGAAGTAGGTCCAGGATTTGATCTTGGGTGCTTCTGACTCCTACACACACTCAAACTCCTTCCATGGTTTCAGAAGAGGAAAGAGAAGCTAGAGAAGTTCAGTTTTTCTATCTCTTATGCAAGAAGTGGTGCTTAGAGTTTTGACTTCAATAGGGACTGCTACCAAGTGTGAAGATAGATCATGAGTAATACTTTTCTTGGCCATCCTACTCTCTTCCTGACGCATGATGACATTCTTTCAGTGAAGCCAGTATGCTCATATTCCTTGTTTTGAGATTCTATATTCTGTCAATATATCCAATATATTAATTGGAAATATTTTAGTTGCCACCAACAGAAACCCAACTAAATAAAGCTTGAGTTTAAAATGAAGGATCCATTTATATGGCTGGGAAAACCGCCAGGATGGTATACAAACTTGAAAGATGAACTGAAGGAGTTTTGGCCATGGGACCTGGAGTCATGGACGTGAAGCCTAGCTACGCGACTGTCTCTCTTCTCTGTTAGAATCTGATTTCACGTGTTGTTATGGACTGAATATGTGTGGAGTTGGAACCTCTGAGGAAGTAACTAAGGTTAAATAAGGTCATAAGGGTGGGGCCTGATCATCATAGCATTAGTATCCCTATAAGAAGAGACACCAGAGCATGTGTGTGTGCATGTGTGTTCCCCTGCCCGCTGCACTCACAAAGAAGAGGCCATATGAGTATAGTGGGATGGCAGCCATCTATAGGCCAAGAGAAGTAGCTTCTCTCTTGACTTTGGACTTCCCAGCCTCCAGAACTGAGAGAAATAAATGTCTGTTGTTTGAGCCACCCGGTCCGTGATATTTTGTTATAGCAGCCCAAGAAGACTAACACATTTGTGTTGCTTGCTTTCTCTATCTATAGATAACTTTCCCCCATATAGCCAGGAAAGATGGCCACAAGAACTCCAGGCTGCGGAGATCCCATTTAATGACTTAATTGCAAAGAGATTGTCATCACAAGGTTGTCTGTACAGGATATGGGTATCACACACTCATATCCTGGATCCATCACCGATTGGGGAGGGAGTGAAATAGAAGTTAGATTAGGACTGGTCGGGTCTGTTACCAGAAAAAGGGATGAGAAAACATTCAGGGTTGGTCAAGAAGTAAAAACAGTAACGACAGTGTACTGCGCCAAGGGAAAAACATTATTTTTTGTCATTATAGAGGAGTAAGCACTGATTTTGGAAACTGCTCAGAATGAACCCAGGACTGGCTGTAGTATCTGTTAATTATAACTGCTGCCTTTCAAGTTAATTGCCTGAAGGAAGATACAAGCTGAATTCTTTTCATGTTGTTGATGTTCCACTGCACAGATTCTTCAAAAGGTGACAGTATCGCTTTTTCTGTCTTGTTCGAATGGGTCTTGATGAGGTTGTGTGTAAGAATGGGGATATGATTTTCTAACAGATGCTGAAACAAAGAATTGTGTAAGCAACTCCAGCATGGACATAGTAAGGAGGCAAGTCTGTTGAGCTCGCCCAAGAAAAATTCCTTCTCCCCCAAGGTGCAATGCACATCCTAGGATATCAGTTATGCTAAGAATCTCTTTTCAGAATGGTCCCGTCCTGAGGGAGGATGAGCAGGCCAACTCTGACAGAATGAAAGATCTGATAGAAGAAAAGAATCTGAGAGCCTTTTATGTGTCCTGAGGGAGGATGAGTAGGCCAACTCTGACAGAATGAAAAATCTATCTGATAGAAGAAAAGAATCTGAGAGCCTTTTATGTCCAAATGGAACAACACTCAAATTGTCTGTTACACTGAACTAGGATTATAGACATCTAATCAGTGATTTTAATTGACAAACACTATATAATATATCCTCCTATTTGCATAATGATATTCATGTTTTAAAAAAGATGTTAGCTAATATTTTTATAATAATTGCTGAACAGAGAAACTGAATCCACAGAGCTCTGTTGATTTGCCTAAGAACTCATAACTCAATGATGCTAGTGACATTGCTGCAAAGGACTTTGAATAGTCTTGCTGGTGACTCTTGACAGTGACCAGGTCTCCCAAATTCTCATTTTTGTTTTATGACTCACAAAAGTGATAGCAGAGTTTAGTCGAAATGCCATATCTAGGATCAAAATTGGTGGAGTATTTTAACTTTCTCGTATATTAGTTGCGTGATTTGGGGAAAGTCATCAAGTCTTTGAATCTCAGCTTTCTCGTCTGTAAATTGGGAACAATAATAAATTCTCTGTTTACTGTCCAGGGTTATTTTGATCAAGGAATCAAAGTCAGTTTTTCCGATTTAAAAAATGAATGAGAACTGCACAACTTTTATAAAATGTTCTACTCCCTCTTGCCTTTTCTCTGTCTTCTTTTTTTTCCTTCATTAGTGGGCCAAGGAAGAAAGTTCAGACAGAGAATATTTCTATGACATCTTCACCCTGATGATGGGAACGTGGTTTGTAGTGTGCAATGACAGAGCAGTGATATTGTCATAGTTTTCAGGTCACATGGCTTCCACCTGCATACGGCATAAAGGCAGGCTGTGATATTTGTTCTTTAGAGGTTTATATTAGTTCTTTTGAGATAACATGTTTTGAATTTGAGTTTTCCTTCAGATTTTTATAATTTGAGACTGCACTTTTCATTGTTTAGCTAATAATTTATAAAGGGCAATGATATGAAAGATCAAAATCTTATGATTATAAAGTCAATGTCCTTCAAAGGGAAGAGAGCTTCAAACCTCACTGAAGGCACA